TAGCGGGGGGCCCCCCGGCGGGGGCCGCGCAACTCCTCCGCGCTCGTTTTGCTGAACGACGATTGCAAAATCATTTAGTTTTTTTTTTTGGGGGGGGGAGTGGGGGGGGACACGACTGAGTTCTGGGTTGATCTTTTTTCTTTTTCTTTTTTTTTTTTTTCCCACATGACAATTAGTGGGTTGGGGGTTTTTTGTTGTTTTGTTGTTTTTCCCTAAACCATCTTCGTAGCTTTAAATGAGCTACAGCCCTCGGGGTGGGGGGAGGCGGTGCGACCTGCCGAGCTCGCCTGCGGCCCGCAGCGATGGGAGGAAAACGGGCGCAGAGCCGCACGGCGCAGGGGGAAGGCGGTCAAGTGCACGGGGTGCGGGGCTGCGACGGGTCCGAGCTTGCTCGGCGCCCACAGGCACGGTTTGGAGGCTCTCTTGAGTAAAGTGCCCGCAGAGGTCTGGGCTCGCCTCGCCACGGGCGCTGGTGGAGGGGGGGTAAGGGGTGCTCGCACCGGCGCGGCCGCGGGACTTCCCTCCTGCCCGCTCCCCTAGCCCACTTTACGGGCACCGCTCGCCTCTGCCCTCCCTGGGAGGCTTCCTCCTCCCCCCTGCGCAGACAGATTTAAAATTTCGTTTTAAATAGCAGTTCCATCACCCGTACGCTCATCACGGGAATCCTCCCGGGAGAAGGACTTTTAAGTATTTGATTTGAAATCTCTTCCGTTTCCACGACTCCTATTCTGATTTTTAAGCTAGTTTTTCTGCCGTTGCATTTACAAACGTTAGGTAGCGCTTAAAGAAACGGCTCAGCACCGCTTTTGCTGTTTTAACGTGTCTTGTACAGCTACACCAACAGAAATAAAGTGTAGGAACTTTAATAACCGGGCTTCCAGACAGACATCTCTCTCTCTAACCCCACTGTTCTTTTCCTCTTCCTATGTTAAAAGTTAATCGTTCACATTTCCTCTGGGGATTTATTCACTCCTTGGTCCACATAGAATATTCCTCGTTTAACCTTAAAAAATCCACACGACTTTGTTGGAATAGCATATTTCAGTTCTTCAGGGAGGAAAAAGTTCTATTTCATCTTGTGGTTGATTCCAGCCAGTTCAAGTCCTTCTCCTGCCAGTGCAACTCAGCCTCGGGCTGGAGCCTGTAGGATGCACTGATTACAGGATTTCAGATGCCAGCATTGCTACTTTAAGCTTTCACAGGAAGAAACGTAAATTTTAAGCAACAGTTATGAATGCCAATAGATCTACTTTTGTGCACGTAGAGATGAAATAGTACTTGGATGTTGGCAAGCACTTTGGCTGCTCCTTGCCAGAGCTAATGGAGGGACTCCCAGCTGGAATGCTTGTCCTATTTTTTCCCCTCAGCTATACGTCATCTGGTCTCACCAGATATATTTTCTTTTGGAAACCTCTCTTCTCTTATACTTAAGACAGAGAAGAAAGACAGTTTGCCTGGTACAAAGAGCTCCAAAGACCAGTTTGTCTGTTTTTGAAGCTGTAAAAATGATACAGGATTTTCACAGGATAATGGTCTCCTGTTGCTAGATAAACACAAAAACTAGCATTTGGAAAAACTAGCAGCGAGGGGTACTTACGAGCACTGCACTAGTATAGCAAGACATTTACTGAAACAATCTGTTCCAAGGAACTTGTTCTGCTTTTTTCAGTGCCTGATAATATATCAAGTAAAATAATCCATGGGTATAGGTCCAAAGCAGATGAAATGAAGAGCTACCCAGAATGGCTGGATTATTTCTATTTTTTTTAAGAAATCAGATTATCTCATACAACTTGCAGCTCCAAGTAAAAGGAATTTCTTCTTCAAAGAAATTTATATAAATTTGTAAGGAATAAGAAAAATCTGTCCTACTTTAAAGTTACTTCTTTTCTCTGCACTAGATAGAAATTATTCTGTTCGATATTATTTAACAAATACATTTTAAAGTGCAACCATTTTTTCTACTGTAAATATTGCTACTGTGTCAACAAGCCATAGACACTGCAGTGAGGATCTTAAAGGGTACCAGCTGACATGCTGTTAAACAAAAATATCACATTTATATACTATGTTGAGATTTTTGTCCAATAGTAAAATGTAATTCTTCAAGATAGACAAGACTGTGAGCTGCACAGACAAAATTTCAATCCCCAGGAATGGTTCATATCTGACAAGAGAGGACCCTACCAAAAGGAAAGGGAAAACTTACAGACACAGTAAGTTGTTCAGAAGGGAGGTGAGCGTGATTCAGGTCTCTGCTCTCTCTGCGCTTGTTCTTCATAGCACCTCATCAAGCCTTTTGCAGATAAGGACATTTCATGATAAAACCAGCTCTAAACATCACATGATCTTTCTTTACGAAGAGAAGCTGGGGATTACTCATCCATGTTTCTGGTGGATGACTATGCCTAGTCTATCTCAGGATCCTGTCTCCAAGAATGGCCAGAAAACACTGCCACCTAAGAAGACTCTACAAGCCAGGCAAGAGAAAGTGAGCAGTATTGACCCCTTGTGAAAGCATCTTTCTAACATTTCGTTGCAATCTGGTCTGCAGAAAAAATATATAAGCTAAGTCAGAGTTAACAACATCGTGCTGTTGTAAAAGCAAGCTGTATACTAACAGGAGTATCATGTTTATGGCCCGAGAGGTAACCCTTACACTTGACTCGTTGCTGGTAAAATCTAGATCTGCTAGTGTACTCTGTTCAGGTACCTCAAAGAGACAACTTGGAGAAAGTCCAGAAAAATACCAGTAAGACTTATCAGAGATCCCATAACATGATTTAGGACAAGAAACTCGAAGATCAGGGAAACAGTTAACAGAAGGAAAGACTATGGAGAAATGTGATAACAAAAATCTAAACGCTTCCCATGAATTAGTAATAATCTACACTCTGATACTATATTCAAAACTACCAATGTATGTGGGCTTAAAACGCAACAAAGGAGGTACCACACATTAGAAAGAGCTTTCTACAATTGAGATTAATGACATATAAGAATAGGTTACATAGCAGTTATGGCATATCTTTCACTGGAGGGTTTTATGGCATGGTAGTCTAACATCTGTCAGGAATGACATGAATACTTGGTATGCTCTGAGGAAGGAACCCAATCAACTAAATATGCTCTCTTCGTGTATTTCACCTCCAATGTATGTGATTCTGTAATTTTAGTAGCTAGAGACTGGCTTAAACTCTGAAATGTAACACCTCACCTACCATCCAAACTTTTGTTAGCATTTGCTTTTGCAAAATTTACCTCCCTAACTGGTCTAATCCTTTGCTTAATTCTGCTTCCATAGCCTCCAAAAGGCCATGTTCAGATTTAGAATAAGATCACGTCGAGTTTGTTCACACAAATAATATTTTACCTAACTGTCTCTTAGTTCAGTTTGAATTTGGCCCAAAAATGAGAGCCTCTTTTTTATAAAATGCAGTACTTTCCTGAGAACTAGAATGCTGATATAGATCCCAACACTAAAGCATTTCCATTTTAATGAATATGAAATCTGGATTTAGGCTGCTTCAGTGACTGCTTTTGAGAAAGTGGAACTGCTGTTGAACTAATTACTGAGAAATCTATGAATCAGTCTGGAAGCAAATTTTCTTCCAAAATGCCTTAGAAAGGCTTCCAGACTGATGTAGGGAAGACACTTAAACAGAAGGTCAGTGTTGCATTGTTTTAATCTCATTGAAACATTCCTACTGAGCTTTTTTGCTCGGTAGGTTTTGCAGCAGTTCCCTGTTATATATTCAAAATCCAGTGCGGAATAATCTTTTAAAACAAACTGGGCCATGCTGTCCTGCACTGAGGTTTGCTTGGCAAGGCAGAAGGGGCAGACTGCAAGGAAGCTGGTTACAGCTCTGTCACCTTCTGTCCTGTGTTACCGCAGCTCAGCCTCTGTACAGGTTCACAGCAGCTCCAGCCCTATCTCACGCTACTCGGCAACATGCTCCCACCCTCTGACAACTGGGAAACTTCAGCCACGCTCCAGCCAGACCCAGTTCTGTCCCAGGCTGCACCTCCAATAGGCTGATAAGGGGAATCCCTCAAGAGGAACTCGAAGCTCACCAAATACAGCCAAGTCAGACTCACAGCATGACCAGGGCAGCACAAAGGGGATGAACTATGGAGGAAAACCTCACTCTGAAAATACTTCAAAATCAATCGGCACCTATTTTCACTTCGGTTTTATGTATTCTGCAGGTAAGATAAGAGTTGAACAAGCTCCTTATCTGGAAAACAACCTTAGAACAGAAAACTAACCTTGTTAAGCAAGAGCATTATTATAAAACTTTGATTTGATTGCATGCACAAGTACTATGTTACTATCTTCTATGTCATCAGAGTATGTCAGCAAAAATATGGTGAGAAACTATATCTTAAGTCCTCAAGTTAACCCCATGCTTGTTCTTTACAGGATATAGGAACGGTGGAAGCTCTCACATCATCATTTCATTCTTTGTCTTGATAGTACTGAGGTCTGATTAAGCCACAGTATAACCTGGTATTTTTATCAGTCCCTTGTAGGACCATTCAGTTCCCTCTGCATTGTTAGGTACCTCCCTGCCATTTCCTGTGCTGCTCTCTGTGCAAGGAGGACCGGGTACAATTGTTTCTCAGCTGGCTGTTCAATTGTTTGACTCTTGACAAAAGAAACTTGTGCAAGAGCAATGATTTAGCCTGTAGCTTCAACTAAATTGGGAACCAAAAAAGATCTCTCTCCTTTCAGTGCTGGTAAATAGTACATGAAGGCAAAGGCTATTACAACATAATATTTGTTAATCAGAGTTTCTCTGGTACAGCAGAGTTTCTGGGAACCAATAGTCATATAAGACTATTAATTAAAAAGATAAATTCCTACATCTATGTATAAAATTGACCAAGTAAACTCTGAAAGAGCCAGCAAATAAAATATGCCAAAACTATTTTTGAAGTTACAGACTTTAAGCCAGTGTCATAGTTCTCTGAGTCTCCTGACAAATCTAAAATATTTAGGCACAGTAGGACTGTGATGAGGAAATGTTTTGGGTTTTTTTTCAGCAAATTCACAAGGGAAAACATTAGATGTGTTTTTCCGTTTTAGCAAATCTATAAAGCACCAACATCATTACAGGCTTAGCTAAGGAGATGATTGTAACTTAGAAAGTGATCATTCACCATGATGATATAGGTGTGTTAAAAAGAGCTATGTGAGTGTACTGGATAACATCTGCACATGACTCTAACCTCGTCAGTGGGCTTATGAAACTGATTTCTTCAATGAGAAGCATGCCTACTTTACATATGTCTATACAGATCTCTATCTTTTGCCTGCTCCGCCCTCAAAGGAAAGGAGAAAAATCTTTATATTTCTGGCTATAAAGAAGTTGTTTTCCTGTATGACATTTTATAAATAACAGCATGATGTCACTGGACAAGAGATACTATTACAGGAATAGGAAGCACTTTAGCCTGGTAAAGGTTTACCTTGTTTTCTAGAAGTACAGCAACAATGTCAATGCTAAAGAATGAAAAAGCTGAAGCCTGTTTCAATCTGTAGCTGAATACAAGTTTGTGAGTTATTTAATGGAACTTAGAAACTACTTAATTTTTCTCCCAAGAGCCTAACAGAGTTATCATCAAGATCTTAATATTGTTACTAAGAGAACAGCCACATCTGTCAGTATATTTCTTCGAAATTATGTGAAGTTACTCCCTGTCAAAGAATTGCTTTGTGCCTTTCTTGAGAAGACAGGAACACAATCATTTCCTGTTACTTGCTTGTCTCCAGCTTCTCCTTACAGAATTTACAATGCAAAGTAATTGTAAATCTTGATGACCAGAATGTTTTAGAACGTAATAAAGATAGGTGCTTTAATGGGGTTCTTTACTCAGCCATCATTTTTTATAATTGAAATCAAAAAACCTTTACTCATCCTGTGAGTTTACTCATTTGATCATCTGTGATTAAGATGAGTAAAACCTTCCCAAAGAAACAATTCAGCACAAGCTGCCCCCACACTTTAAAAAAAAAAAAAAAAAAAAGGATCAGTCAGAAACTGGCAAGGAATCCTGCCCTTGGATAGCCATTGGAGTCTTGCATTCCTAAACCTGCATTCTTAAGTAATTCCATCTCTCCACAAGGGTTTATTTATCATTTACTTTTGACAACTTTCAGCCATATTTATCCATGCTGGTATTTTTCCCTCCATTTAATCACGCATCCTTGAGAGCTTCTCGGATCTTTAATATTGGCTGATTCACCACTTTTTCACATTTGGCTTGACCAAAACTGATTTTACTGTTCTGCAGTCATGCTCATCAGTTTCTCTTCCTCTGTTACAGTGGATAACACCACTGTCTCTTCTCCATCACCAAGGCCCAAACACTACAGGAAGGGCAGTTTTGACTGTTCTTTACCCTGCTTGAAGACAATTGTCAAATACCATCTGTTTTTTTTTCCCCATACAAGTCTATTCCTTCCTTTTTAGCCAAAAATTTGGACTTCTGATCTTTTTTTTTCTCTGCTTGGGTCTTTTCTATGCTATTTTTTCCCCTGTTTTTCCCCTTCAAAATGCTTGCTGCCAAAACTACCAATCACCTTTCCTTTCTACATTGAAGATAAGCAGTGAAAACCAATAAATCAATCAAAAAAATAGTACTTCTCCCTATGATTCCTCAAACACTTTGAGAACTATTCGAGTATCATCTTATCAAGGGGGATGATGAGGAGAGAAAAGGACCAACCTCTTCTTTCCAAAGACAGAAGATTATGTACATAAATGGTTTATATCCTTCTAACTGAGACTGCAATAATAACCATATGCAGGTGCACCGTACCATACACCATATAATTGCATGATGTATCTGGCACATCAATGTTTCTACTCCCACTACAATCAACAGCAATTTCATCTTGCAAGTTCATTCTGTATAAATGTCTGTAGGCTGTGAATGAGTCTTTCTCCCACTGTTCTGAAGTGTTTTCTGACCAGCCAGTCTGTGCACCTCTAACTCACCTGACTATGCTGAGCTTAAAGCATTTGGGGACCCCCTCTTTGTTTAAACATCTGTAAGTAATTAAGTTTAAATCTGTTTGAGTTTGCATGCTTCAGCACAACTGCTTAAGCACATTTCATGTCTAATTTTAATCTTTGGTCATTTCTCCTTACTCTTCCTCTGGCTAGAGCCACGCTGAGGTCCTGAATCTCTTGTACTCTCTGGTGAGAAATCGTAAGGCATTGACATTGAAATCCTGATATTTTTTGTAGGTATGGCCCAAGTAATTCAGTCAAAACACCAGGTAGTATCATACTGGGAGAAAGAATGAAGAATAACTTGGAAGAAGAATGAAAAAAATAAACCTCCAGCAGTGCACTTCTTTGTATTCTGACAAACTGGGTAAGATTTTGACACAGGATGATGGCGTTGGCACATACTTTACAGGCATTTTGCAGTTAGGACAAGGAAAGATACTGAGGCAAATAAAACTGACTACTCTTTGCATGAAGATTCACCTGAAAATCAGTCTCTCACTGCATTGACCCATGGAAACCAGCACAGACACTGGTCCAGCCAACCAGCCCATGTTCAGTGCATGACAACACACAGGCATCAGCAATTCCAGCTGAGAAAACTGGGTCAGCATCTTTGCACTTGCCTTCATTAAAAGTTACTGGTGTATTGTTCTGTAATATACATGTGACATTTATCTTTCCCTCTCATCTGCCCATCCTGGGCAAATGTGAGCGAGTACACTCTTTGAATCCTGTTCTTTTTACACTTCATAGCCTTGTGCCCTATTCACTGAGCACCCAGACAGCCAGTTTGATTGCCCTGAAGCCTCGCAGATGCTTTGCAGCCAGATTGCCAGCCAAAAAAAAGCTACATTTTGCCACTTTCCAGCTCCACTCCTTGTTCCTGTGTTGTACCCACAGCTCTTAACTCTTCCCTGCACTCTTAAAGCAATGGCCTTTGCTGTGTTTGAGTTCTTGGACCATCTGAGCAACGTCTGGGGCCCTCCTCGGCTTTTGTGCCACAGGCTCCCAGGTCAGTATCAGTATCAACACATTTGAAGCTGGATGTCCCATCACAGGAATGTACTGAGAATTAAGCATTCAACGGTTAGATTATCAAGTACGTAGCGCATTTTGATCAGTCAGGTTATTAACAAAGTTCATCAACATAAATTCTTTATCAGTTTAGATCTTAACAAGCTTCTTATGAATCTATGTAGAGATATGTCCTGGTTCCGTTGAGTGCAACAAAAGAAAAATCTCAAGCT